TTTTTTCATATTTTATCATAATTGGACAGTAACTAAAATTATAATAACTAAATTCATAATAGTTTAATAACATAAAATTACTTTATCAAACAGWTATTTTCTATGGCATTGAGTAAACCACAAGAGTGCAGAGTTTTGTACTATAATACAATTATGAAATAGATAGTAGATTTACCGTGATCTTAGTCCTTTTAATATTCTTATTTGTAAAGCGATTTGAAGCACATTTTCTTTTCGCAACAAATTTAAAATAATTGGTGAAAAATAATTTAAAAATGAGGAAAATTTCAGTCGACATTAAGAATAGTGGTGTGTGCCTGACCGGGAAGGGCTTTCCTTCGCGTACTATTGCCGAAAAGCTTGGTATCAGCCGAAATTTGACTCCGAAAACTCAAGTCAAAGGTTGCAAGAAAGGAATGTGATGGCGCGTTTGAAATTTGCAAGGGATCACAAAAACTGGAGCATCGATGATTGGAAACGAGTTGTTTGGTCAGATGAATTAAAATTTAACCGTTTCCAATCATATGGAAAGCAATATTGCTGGTGCAGCCCTGAGAACGCATTCAACGACATCATGTACAGGAAATTTTCAAACAGGGTTGCGGCAGCATTATGGTTTGGCGATGCTTTACTTGGTGGAACGTTGATCCTCTACATAGAGTACAAGGTATAATGCGGAAAAAGGATTATATGAATATTCTTCAAACCCATCTTCCCAATTTCATTGTTAACTGTTCGTGTCCCCAAAGAGAAAGGGTTTTCAACAAGATGGCGATCCAAAACATACTATAAAGATTATTAAGGAATGGATTGGAAAGCAGAATTTTAAGCAAATGTTCACTCCATACATATAGAGTCTATATATAAATCCTATCCCGACTTCAATCCTATTGAAAATCTGTGGTCAATAGTGAAAAGACGGCTGGAACAGTATGATGCAGCCCCAACGAACATAGACAGCGCGTAGAAGCGTAGTGGAGTCGAATTCGGAAAGAAATCATTCAAAGTTTGGCTGAGAGCATGCCAAAAAGAGTCAACAAAGTTATTGCTAATAAGGGTTTTGGACTAAATATTAAAATTATGCGGATTTTTTCGGTTTTTTATTTCTAATTCGTATAATTTCGCTAATTTAGCCTTGCAACTTTTCTGTATTTGTTAAGAACATACTAATAAACAAACACACAAAAAAATTTGTTGATTTGCTTGAATGGTTAAATTTTTATGCGTGATGAAAGTCAAAGTTCTGCAACATTCACTCATTTTTGTCAATACTGTATATATATATACTTAAAGCACAAATTAACTTTTTCCATAAGCGTGAATTTGAATTTTTCAAAACTCTGCAATGTAGATCTATGTATGTATGTATAAAATCAGTATGCATCCGTAACTAATATCCACATATGTATACATATGTAACTATCCAAGCGAAAGGTATTCTCAATTAACAAGTGGAATATTTCCATAGAAAGTGACGAGCTAAATAATGGGCAAAGCAAGATTTTTCAACCTTATAGAAATTTTGAAGTCTTGTTTAATAAAACAAAAAATTACCTGAATAAAATAGGGTATTTATATTGTGGTTACATAACTGAAACATCAACATTTAAATATGCAATCGATAAATGGTAAATAATATATTTCATAAGAGATTCGGGCGTAACGAGCCCAAAATATATACATATGTACAAAGTTCCTTTATTACTGGCAATAATAATAAATCAGCATTTGAATAAATACAAATTTCAAAATAAGAAAGATACAATAATTTGCATGTTTTTACAGCTTACAGCCACTAACCATACATTGTTACAACAAAAGAAATTATCGACTGTTATCGACTTCAATAGCAGTGGATTAACAGTTCACGTAATGTGATTGTACGGCTAACATAACAGCGATACATAACAGCGATACGATATTTGTAGCCATTTTGAGTAAAGCATTCGATACCACCATGCGATGAATCGTTTATAATTTGGCACAATTTTTTGTGATTTGCAGCAGGACGAACGTGTTGTCTTTTTGTTTTTTTTTGCAATTAATCGCGAACTTTTTTTTTACAGTGTGTAGTGTTGTGTTTTACTCTTGTGTTCCATAGCAGGTAAGGTAATGTTTCATCGCCGCATAAAGCGTAATTTATATTGTCTCAAATGCGTTGCTCGTTCTTTTTAAAGTGCTAAAGACGCTAGCGTCAGTCGCGCACACAATTAAAAATCTACATATGTATTCGTACGCATGCAATAACCACGCGCGAATTCTCGAGTTGCGACAGACAAGTTGAAAAAAAAGCTAACGAAAATATGCATTTAACACTATAAAAGTGTGCGACAGTGCGACATGTCTGACTTGCATTTTTTGCAATGTATTTAATACGAAGCTGTCATACAATTTTATACGCCGGCAAAGGCGCCGGTACACAGCTAAACAGCAGCAAGCAGACACACACACATGCACGCATACGCATGTCAACATGTTAAAAGTGCGTGCCAAATTTAAAAGTTGGAGTTTGCTTTGGCTGTTGTACTTGTATACACCGGTAGTTTTATTTAAATATAATATTTATTGAAATGCTTCTGTGTTTGCAAATGGAGCAACAAGAATTACATTTTGTTTACTATGGTCAGTTAGTATTTGCTTTAAGTAATTAGTTTGCATATGTACATATGTGTGTACATACATACAAATATAAATATACATATCTATGTACATGTTTTGTATGTGTGAGTGTTTTTGCGCGTGTGTGTGATTAACCCAAACAAAAACATACGTTTGGTTTAAAATAATACGTTTTAAGTTTGTACTTCGCATGAATTTGGCAATTTAGAATTGTGACGTTGGACTATCATTTCTTATAAAATTACTTCTGTTCGTGGAAAGCTGGTTGCCATTTTAGACTTTTCTTTCGCACATGTGCGTAAATGTTACGCATACTCTTGCGCACTGTTCGTATTTCTACCTGCTGCAGCTAAGCTTCGTGCCGCAAGTCTAGCCAAACGAACGGGAAACCATTGCCCTTCGTCAAATCTGACGACGTTTTACAAGAAACTTGCATAAGTAGTAGTGTGAAACAAACGTTCAAGGCTGACCTTGGTTGCATTGAAGAATTTTGCGTTTCTTCGAATAGCCGATGTATATATGCTTATGTGTGTATATATGAATATGTGGGTAACAGAAAGCTGGAATATGTATGCGTGTATGTTTATTCTGTTTAGGATTGTAAAAATCTACAATGTCTTTGGCGTTTGCTTTGTCTCTGGTTCTGTTTTCAATGTAATTTCAGCACTTGCTCACTTGGCTTGTGTCTATGCGGTTCATTCGACACTTGTGCGTGTGTGCGATTGTGCTTGTATGCGCGGACACCTTATTGTGAATCAAACAAAGCCGAATGATAAGCCTAGTAATACGGCTGAATATCTGTTATGAAAATATACAAATCGGATCATACAACCATGCATATTACTTTATATTAGTTAGTGATGTAAAGTGAGATCATATTGTATTTATTAAGCTTGAAATACATACATGTGTAAGTATGTGCGGCTAGAGATGATAAAAACTGATTTAATAATTTATTTTGCTCTAAAATCGTTTCAATGCTCTGCCAATAAAGATTCTTGCAAAGTACATTGGGCACATTAAAGCAGGAATAAGATAATGTATTCTATACAATATTTTATGCCGTTTATTTCATTTGATATTTCTTTCACTTGAAGAAAGATACAAATATTTTAATTAATTAGAATTTGATTGCAAAGAAAGAATCTATTTCGAAGTTCAATATTAAACATTTCAGCCAGCTCCTTGCTGGTCTTTCCTTTGATTTTATTAATTGTATACTTATAAAAATTGTAAAATTTTATAAAAAGTGTAGTGATTCCAAGAAATTAATAAAACGAATAATGTATCGGAAGGTTTCAGAAAGAAGTCGCGACGGGAATCGTTTTTTTATTTTGATGTCCCGTTAGCTTTTTGCTGTTTTCCTTCAACTAATGTTTGCATTTTGCAGTTAATATTTGCTGTTTTCTCTTTATATGAAGAAATTGGAGGCATTGAATATGTTTTCCGCTTTTATGGCACTAAGGTGTATAAATGTAATCTAATTCAATGTACTGATCCCTTAAATTTTGACAGGCGCACAATGAGCTCGCCAGACAACGCCGTGGAAGAAAGTACGATGAAGCAAGCAGGAGGGACATCACCGACCGATAACGACGATAAGTCTAGCATGGAGAAGCATGCTGACAACATCAACGGTCATGGACCGCAGGAGGACCAAATGAAAAATCAGAACTTATTGGACATTGACTCGGACAACTCACAGCAAACGATGCAGTTGGATGCCGAGCAGAATGGTGGGTGAAGTACAACTTGCTTGTTAAGCATTCCTAATGCTTGAATCGTATTTTAGATGAGAACGCAGACTTGCGCAAGGCCACGAAGCGTAAGGCTAAGAGAAGCAGACAGCGATGCGATTCTAAGGAGGTGGCTTTGGTGGGTTGGAGCGGTGCTTTTCCCAATCTCTCATCCACCCACAGCTTGGAGAGCAATTCGGATGGAGACCAGCAGGTAAGTACACATCAATAGTGGGACCGAGCCAGAGACTGGCACAATCAGCACATCTGCACCTGCACCTGTTGCTGCAGTTGCTCCTGCTGCTTCAGCTCCAATTTTGTTTTGAGCAGTGAAAAATTTTACTCTTGACATCGGCGTGTATTTGTCTTGTTCTCTATCAATATATCTATAATTTATCTATTTACCTATGTCTCAATATTTGTTTGTATGTATGCATATTGCACATTGTATGCAGCAGCTGCCCACTGACCTAAAGGCTGTCTGTGCCACTGGGCTAAGCGTGTTTCCCAGAGAAGACAAGGAGCAGGGGCCGCCGCTGTCATCATCGTCGCCTTCTGATTCCACTTCCCTTTCACCAGTTACCCAAGTGCCTGCAACCACGACAACGGCAGCTTTCACAATCGGTACAAATTTGACTACTACAAGTCCAAAGTCTACGCAGACAACCAACAGCAACAACAACAACGACAACAAATCAGCGTCAAATGCTGCATTTCCTACAAGTGTCTTGTGTCCACGCTCAGAACCATCATCAGAGTCAGAATCAGAATCACAAGCTGATACAGACAATCAGGTGGAATTTTAGACTTAGTTTTGGAAACAGCCATAGCTGGAAAACTAATGTATTCATTTGCTTACTCCATTTCCTTCTTCCTGTGTCTCCCCTCTCTGCACAGGTGGCCAAGCGCTTAAAAAGGTCCTTCGGTGCCGCTGAGTTTGAACTCGTCCCAGATTTGGTCGCTGGTGAGGAGTCAAATGCCTCTTCCAGTTCTTTACCAAACAGAAGCGGTCGGAAACGCACCCTCTCCAAGAGAGGCACGCCTGACAATAACAACGAATGGAAGCGTTCGAAGCCGTCTGATAAGGATTGGAGCTTCAGCTTGCGGAGTCGCTCCAAGTCTTTTCACTTCCCGAATCGGAAAGTGCCACTGCCACAACCACGCGCACGCAGTGTTTGTGCAGCCTACTTTTGCAAACAAACTGACATGCCGGTCATATCGGTCACAGTCAGAAGCGAGTCGAAGCCTCCCGCTCGCTCGGGCGCTGCCCACAAGCTTCCGGCAACTGATGAATTCTTTTTCATGCCCTTCAAGTATGGATGGAAACGTGAGTTGGTGCTGCGCAGTAACGCATCCGTGTCGCGCCAGCGCGGCGACGTGATCTTTGTATCGCCGGAAGGGAAGAAGCTCCGCTCCCGAGAGGACATCATTCCTCTGCTGAAAGGCGAGTTGACCATCGATCATTTCTGCTTTCAACGCCAGCTGCAGCATGCCGGTGAGCAGTACGAGACATTGCGTCAAGCACAGCCTGCCCCGACACGCACTAAAGCGGGAGCAGTCAAACAGGCGACATGCAACAGCATCAGCCAGCAACTGCAGTCAGGTGCTGCACCCGTGTCTGGCAAACGTGTGCCAAAGCCTAAGGTGCCAAAGGGCGCTAGCCCTCCGCCAGAGGGTTGGACCTCGACAATGGCCGTCAAGGGCAACGCCCGCGTCTTAGCAGCCAGCAATTTCAACAGCGCAGGCAGCGGCGCTGGCTCTGGCAACAGCGCACGCAAACGAAGGTAAACAGGCTACGACTTAAATGCATAGATCGATATCTCATTTATTCGCAGACAACCCTATGTTGGCAGCAATCATTCTAAGCAGCCAGCTAAGACAGCCACGGATCAAGCAGCTACGCAGACAGCTCCCCAGCCAGCCACAGACAAGACGATGATCTGCGTGTATTGCTTGAAGTCGATCAATGATAAGCAACAGGCTTTTCCTGTGGGTACAGACCCTGCTAACAGCTACATCTGTATGGTGAGTAAAAATCGAAGATGTATGTCAGAGCTGGAAGCATAGCTGATAAATTTTCCCCTTGCTATCTAGAGCTGCAATAAATCTGGCACCAATGCGGATAATTTGCAGCAGGAAGCCAAAGGATCGGGACAGGCCAATGGTACCAAGAAGCAAGAAATGACTGAGGAGATTGTAGCCGCAAATACAAAATCTGCCTCCGAAGCAGGCAAGACTTCGTCCTCAGATGTAAATGGAAATTGTAATAGCAATGGCAATGGAGCCTTGCTAGAGATCGGTGGAGAGATTGAGCTGCCGGGCGCACTGCCGCCCGACCAATTGCTCAGCGATGAGTCACCTGCAAGACGTGCTGGCAAGACTCCCAGTTCAATGGAGGTTATTGTAATTAACGGCCGCAAAGCTCTGGCCATTTCTGGCGAGCCGCCGCGCCCTCAGCTACAAGTGTGAGTCCGAAACGAAGGCAAACTCAAGTGACGTCCTTCCCTGTTCAGTTCGGTTCACTTCCAGTTCTATTGTAATACTCTTCGAATTATCTCAATTATTTTATTATTTCGATAAAAGAAAGTCCAATAAAGTAGGGGACTTTGTGGATTCGTCGTATTCTAGTTTGCTGCTCAGCGACTGCAAATTGACACTAATCGAAAATTGAATCATCACCAAATTACACACTTGTCCAGAGATAGTAAACAATAATTAAATTATCAGTTTTAGTAAGCATTGTCAAGTTAATCAACACAACTTCTGCTTACGATGTCAACCTTGACCAATTTTATCTGAGTCCTTCATTCGAATCGGATTATAAATATCAGTGCTCTAGTGGGGAATACTCGACTAGAGATTGATAAATTAAATTTTAAACTTTTATAAGTTGTAAACGTCATTAATCTATTTGATAATTATGCCAGCCAAATATTCTGTACATAATATTTATTTACGAAAGTCGGGCTTCCACTACATTTATATAACATCTTGTTGACTCTTCTGTTTTCTTTGTAGCATACCACAAGAACCGGAGTTGGAGGGCTACGAAAGACAAGTTCTTAAGCGCAACATCAGGGCCAAAGAGAAGCGTCAGAGCTTTGTTGACTGCGTTTCAATTGGCAACCTGAACTGCCAGGTGATGTGTGCCGTTATGAAGATAATGGATATGCCCGTAAGTTTCAATTGGTAATGTCCATTCCATTCGCCTTAATTAGATGGTTTCTTATTTCTGCGTAGGACCGTGTACGTATGTCGCAGGTGTGCAAGACCTGGGCTATGATTGCCCGTGATCGCAGCGTGTGGCGCACGGTAAGGCTTCGCGATTCTCACATTGCCAAATGGCTGTTCCTCTTACGTGATATGGCGCGCTTTCGCACCTACGAATTGGATATGATGGGGGTTAAAATGGACAGCCCCAAGGTGCGTTTGGAGGGAGACTTGCGCGTGCTAAAGTCACTGCGCGTACTCCGCACTGATCCCAGTGAAGCAGAGTTTATTCAGTCGGTCATCAAGCGTATACCACGTCTGCACGAGCTGCGTACCACGTGCACCAGTCGTGTACTCAATTTGATTAATTTAGAGAAGATGGTCGAACTGCGCGTGCTGCGTATTCGCATGTTGGAGCCAAAGGCTGGCATTCTTTCGCTGCAGCCGCTGCAAGGTTTGGAGCAGTTGCAGGAGCTTAGTTTGCGCGGTATTAACAATATGGCTCAGCTAGAATTGTTACAACTTCAAGGATTGAAAAATCTCGAAACACTTGTGCTGGGCTCCTGTCGCGGCATGAAAGTGTCATTGTTCGGCCAGCAAGTGCTACCGAGTCTGACCCGTCTTCGTCATCTACGCCTCGAGAATCACCACAGCAACCGCTCGTTTAACATTAATGAGATAATGGAGGGCATCGCCGCCGGCGGCAGTGTGAAGCGTGTGGAGCTCATCAATGTCAACGTGGATGCTGAGCTCAGCCGTCAGTTGGCCGCTTGTAGCTCGGTGCAGGAGCTGCTGCTGATGCCGAACTTTCACAATAACACGGCTTACATGATGAATTACATTATGCAGGCGATCAACGAAAATAGCGAACAACTTAAAGTGTTTCGCTTGGGTCTGACATACGAACTATTGAGCGTTACTCGCGCTCTGGCCATGAATCAAGAGAAGGATTGCATTCCGGTTGTACTGCCCATACCTGGCGTGCCGGACAACGATGTACTTAACGAGTCCGACGAGCCAATAGCTTGCTTGCCGGTCGATCGCCTGGAGTCCATTTTACACCACATGATGCCGCAGGCCTGGCTGACAGTCGCCAAGGTCTCACAGAGCGAGACAACCAATTTGAAATTCCTTCCGGCTTTGCCGAGTGACGTCGGAATATCGCATAACTAACCGTTTTTCCACAGCCTCCTTTTTATACAATTGCATGCATATTGTATATATGTAATATTTGGGATCATTATATATACATATGTATATATAATTTCTACGTATTCTATATACATATGCATATATGAGTTCTACATATTCTATATATAGCATGTGATCTTCAGGGTGTAATGGGATATGGGTGAGTGCCGTTACGATTATTATGTATGTGCCGCCCGGTTGTTGTTTGAGAGAAAATAGACTGAGTCTCTATTCACCATCACACGCTACACAATACATTGTGGCGCAAACCCTAGAGTATTTTAAGTAATATAAAGTATATATATATATACATATATACG